AAAAGCGTTTTAAAAAATATATTCCACTGAGTAAGAAACCAGCTATAAACTTGTATTTTCTTCCTTATAATCAGTTTGGATTCTAGTTAAACACTGTGTGAATACAGTTGTTTAATCTATATCCAAAGTCATTTTTCAAGCAGATATTGCATAGGTAATTATGAAACTGTGTTTCAATACTTTCCCTGTTGATGGTTATATTGTATTAGACATATCTCTAACTCTAGGTTAATAGTTGAAGTTCAATCCGCAGCAAAGTTCTTGGAAAAATAATGATAGATTGCGGAAGTTCATGTTGGCCCAGTTTCAGTGCTTGCTTTTGCGAGTTTTGTTGGTATAGCACAATCCAGTTTTTTGTTCTTCTCAGACAGAACGGTCTCCAAAATAGTTCTAATATTATATTCCATGTCCGCTCAACGCCTGCACAATACCTTATTCTATGATACTTCTGTAGGCTGACCTGGTAAATAGAAGACACGGTTAGTATTCCGATTGCACAACCCACGATTTCAAATTCTACACACCACAATCCATGATCCCATTAATCTATTTCAAACATGAAGGTGGGAATTTTTTTTTCGAGTTACATCCTCTGTGGTCTAGTTGTACGTCATGTTGAAAAGGGCCCTACAAAGTTTTTGTACTTTTGTTGTTGAAGAGAGTCATTCTATATGGTTCAATAAAGCTGAGCTACAGGCTGATATAAAGGACACAAGTTAACACAATTCCGTATTAATTGATAAATCATAAAATCTGTGTTTTTTAAAATGCAACCAGTTTAAATACCTACATTTGACTTGGAATAAATGTTTTGCAATACCCTGACAGCAAACGGAGAAGCAAGCCTGATTTCAATTGTTATTAGGACTATTAACACAATGGTTGACAGATACAATTTCAAGAAATATCTGCCAGGTCTGTGAAGCTGTCTCCCCACTCTCCCCTACCTTCTACCTACAGTTTATTAAATCTCCCATTGCTTTAACCCCTTGATGCCAATGTAACACAATAATGTGGCCTCACAGAACTGGGCTCTTTTCCATGGGGCGGCATATTTGTGTACCTGTCTTTCTGCTGGGAATGCGCCACACAGTGCACTCCCAGCACAAAGACCGCGGTGTCACTGAGAGCACCGGGTCCCATTCTAACGAACAGGACCTGGGGCTCCAGATTCTGGGTCACATGATCGCTGTGGTAGCCTCTGATTGGCTATCACAGTGATCAGTCACTGTACAGCCCGGCCCCCTTGTTTTTTTTCTCTCTCTATGAATGGAGGAGAGAGATACATTGTATTTCTCTAACTCCTGGCATAGAGGGGGAAAAAATGTTTGTGAAAAAAAAAAAAAAAATATAAAAAAAAAAAATATTAAAAGATAAAGAAAAATACCTAGATCAAGGTTTCATCGAGTTCAGTGCCAGGGTGTTTGGCTCAAAGTCAGGGTCAAAGGTCAAGGTCAAAAAGGTTATGGCCAAAGGTCAGGATTTTAAAAAAAAAATTGGTATCAGTGTCAGTTAGCGTCAGTGTGTTTTAGGTAAAAAAAAAAGTACAAAAACAAAATGTGCACTATTGTTTCTGGGCTGTACTACAGGTACAAAACAAATAACATGACACATATATGATATCGCTGCGATCGTCAAGAGCTGTAGAATGTATTTTGCATTGTACTTTGGTGGTAAGTTATGGTAGTAACAAGAAACACAGCTAAATAAAAAAAAATATTTTATTTTACTATTTTGGGCCAATTTTCCTTTGACAATATAAATAAATCAGGAGATATCCATTACCATTTACCACCAAATGAAAGCCCAATTTCTCCTGTAAAAAACAAGGTATAATTTACCTGGATGTACAAAGTAGTTGTGATGATATGCAAGTTTTACTAACACATGTCAACGTTGCAAAATTGTGCTTAGGCATTTAGATTTGTTTTACCCTTAGGTGTGAAGGGGTTAAACAGTATGGTATGCTCCAGGGGGAACAGTCCAAAAACTGAAACAACAAACCAAGATGAATTTGTGTCCTATAATGATAATGAGGATCAGGGTTGGTAACCATCTGTATTTTTATGGACATCCTATCTTCTGTGTCCACCCACACTCCAACCTGTGAAAGGGGATATGTGGGCACGCAGATGGCAAATTTGAACACAGAGCTTGCAGCTCTAGATCCTGGCTGCTTGCTGTCACTGTCCAAATCCAAGATTCACCGCTCAGGTGAGTATAATCACCACAGTCCTGTGCAGGTGCTTATCCCACATCGCCAATGTGCAATGAAGCACATATTTATGTGTAGTGCATCAACATACAGCTTGTTTGTTCCTGTACTATACTTCCTATTATGGATTATTAAATACTTTTATTTGGAATAGGTCCTGCGGTGGTGTGCGACCAGTATCTTTCTATTTCGGCCGCTAGGAGACCAGGCCTGGGGGACCATAATTGGTGAGTGAACACCCCTCCTCCCTACTCTTCCTTTTCTCTTCCCCCCTCCACCCCTCCCATCCCATCTCTTCCTATCCTCTCTCCCTGCACCCCCTATCCCCTCCTCCTCCCTCCCTTCTCCCCAACCTCTCTCTTGCCAATCTCCCCCCCCCCCCTCTTTTTACCATTCTTCTGCTCTCTTCCTCTCTGATTTCCATCCCCCCTTTTTCTTCCCCCCCCCTCTCTCTCCTCCCTTTTTTACCCTCTTTCTATCTCCCCCATTTATCCTGACTGCTGTACTCTGTACACTGGTTTGTATGGTATTTACTCCTGACCCCTGCACTGTATATGTTTCCCTGTATGTTACATAGTCTTAATCAAGTATTTATTGTCTCAACAGTTGCTGGATTAATTCAGTTCTATTTTAAAGTAGGCTCACACTTTTATGGTCCTGACACCATAAACAGGGTCACTATTACTATGGATCCTTCATTATTGTTGTTGGGCATAATTGATAATCTCCATGCTACCTCTCATCAGAAGCTGTTTTTATTTTATGCTGCATACTATGCTAGAAAGACAATTCTCTCTAGTGGAAGTTAGCAGACCCATGCGACAGTGTCTGCTTGGAGGTCTATGATCAATGCAGTCCTTCCACTTTATCGGCTCACATATATGGGTTGTAACTGCCTTAAAAATTTGAGAAAATATGGTAGGCTTGGGTAGATGCTAGGAACCTTATTTTTGATTAATTGACATATTGATCTTTTCTTTTTTTTGGCTTTTCCTACTTCCATTTCCCTCTCCCACCCGCCCCTCTTCCTTTTCCTGAGGTACCCTCCCCCTCCTTCCCATTCCCTCATTATCCACCCCCCCTCAGCCCACCCTTTTGTTTTCTTCACTTTGGGAGTTTCTCACTTTGCACTCCTCTACTTCTTCCCTTTGGGGAAATATTTTCTCCCTCGCTTTTTTCTTTGACTTTCTTGGGTACTAACTATTGGAATACAAATGACTGTGCCCTGTTGAATGTATTACTATTTGTAGTAGCCCTGGATTTTACAACACATGATTTGCAGGATCCCTTGGATATGACTGTCTGTTATTGTCTTACAGAGAAACTTTTTTGAAGGAATGTGTGAGCTTGTCTTTTCATCCCCTTTTGGATGAAGTTTGGCTTTAAGAGGAAATTATGCCAGAAAAATATAGAGCAAAGGAAAGTGAATATGTTTCTCAAAGCAATCTGACTGAATTATTAGCATCAGTATGGTGCATATAAATGCAAAATATAATGAGTTTTTATTATTTCTACTTCTGGTCAAATGTTCTTATCCTATAGTGTTTGGCTATTTTCCATATTGGCCATATGTTCTTTAAAGCAGAACTTCAGTTAATTATTTTTATTTTCCCATGCAGTGGGGCTGTGCCCGCACTGTATGGATTGACTTCTCATTTTGTCCAGAGGCTCAGGGAAAAGCCATACTTACCCTGTCCTCCGATCCTCCGGAAAACCATGTTCCCCCACATTCAGTGGACTGTTCCTGCCGTCCTCACGTCCACAGCCAGCCAATGGGCACGATGGCATCAGGAACAGCCCATTCACAAGACCGCTAGCAGGCGGGGTAGAGGGGCAGGAATGGTGGGGACCAGTCTTGTGCTCGGAGGATTGGTAGGTTAGTTAAGTATATCTCAGCTTTACAACAGCACAGCCCCACTGCATGGGAAAAAAAAAAATTTTGCACAAATTTCTTCTTTAACTCCTCTGGTCACATTTTTATACATAGACCCCCAAAGTGTATTACAGAAGAAATTTAGCACTTGAATTGTATGGTTCACCATACCAAGACAATATGTTTAAAGAGAAAATCCGCTTTTGTTGAGAAAAAAAAAATATTCCCCTCTGGGTGATCTATGTACATTACAAGGATTTTAACAAACCTTGTTGCAGATTCCTACCTTTTGTTATTCTGAAAAAGTAGCTGTTTGTTTGTCTGTGTCCATACGCACAGTGACTCTATATGAGAGTGACTTCATAATTATCAATCAGCCAGTGCACCTGCAGGGCTCTAATGAGGAAAACTGCAGGGTCAGAATCCCTTTAGATGTGATTTCCTCTGGGAGTTCATCACCAAAAATGGCATTTTGTGTGGCAGGGGATGCCAAAAATCTGATTTGTACCTTAGTGCAGACTTCTGGGAAAATCACTAAGCCAATCATACAAGCAGGAAATGACATATCTGGGAGGTGTTCTGTACAGCATTTGTGTGCAGAACACCTCCAGGTAGCCATATTGCATTTCATTTTACAGAAAATTACAGAGCTGAAGATGGAAAAGGAAAGGCAATTTTTAATAAGATTCAATTGCAATTTGACTTGTTGCAATTGTATAACCTATATTCTACATATATATATATATATATATATATATATATATATATATATATATATATTTTTTTTTAATTTGCTAATCTGTAGGGGTTACTCATAAAAAAGCTTAATGTCACTGCTATTTTAATATAAAAACAATCACATATACATTATATAATTAAAGTAGGAAGTCAGAGAGGCATTTCAGGTCATATCTTACCTTGGTCCCTAGGTTTCTCACAGATGAAGTTATTGAAATCTGAACAATGGAAATCATTCCACAAGCCTGAATATATTAACCCTGCACAGTCTTCCCCAGGTCCTTCTTCTGGAGTCCAGTTGTCGGGTTGCCCAGGCTTCCAATTTCTGCAAGATACACAATAAAAGTCTCTTAAAGGACAGGAAGGAAACAGGTCAGCCATTAGAGCAACTCACACTCATGAAACTTTTTTTAAACAAATGTACTCCTGCCTGGAGTTTGCATGTTCTCCCTGTGCGGGTTTCCTCCGGGTACTCTGGTTTCCTGCGACACTCCAAAGACATACTGGTAGGTTAATTGGATCCTGTCTAAATTGTCCCTAGTATGTGTATGTATGAATGTAAGTTAGGGACTTAGATTGTACGCCCCTTGAGGGTTAGGGACTGATGTGAATGTACAATATATATGTAAAGCGCTGCGTAAATTGACGGCGCTATATAAGTACCATAAATAAATTAATAAAAAATTGTATACTTACCTTTCTGGCTGACTGTGTGTTAAACTTTCACTCTCTTAAAGAGCTCTGAGTGCCACATCTATCCAACATATCTGAGTGTTTTGTCTAGTGTGTCTGCTGCTGGGCACTGTGGTTCTTCCTGCAGGCCAGTAACTTTTTTACAGGACACAGTAGTGAGGTTGCAGCCTGTTAGAGGAACCATCATGCCCATCTAGAGACACACTATCTAACACTTTTCAAATGGCAGTGGTACCCAGGGATCTTCAAGAGTGAAGGTTTATCACAGCGCCTGCTTGATAGGTAAGCACAAAACTTTTTTTTTTCTTTTTACAGGATGTCCTTGTTTTATTTTTTTCCAAGGGGCAAGGTCACTTTTAATATGGGGTACTATCCTTGATAATAAGTAGTTTAGGATCATTACTAATGACTTTATAGCACCCTATAATTCCTTTATGACTATGTAAGCTCCAAGGAGCAGGGTCTTCCTATCCTTCTTGTATTGAACCACATTGTTGCTGTATTGTCTCCTTTTATATTGTAAAGAGTTGAGCATAGTGTTGGCGCTATATAAATCCTATATAGTAATAATAATAATGACATGCTTACTAAATTGGATGATAGAATATTATATTTATTCCCCTAATACCTAGTTCATATATTTTACTTAAATAAACTCAAAGGTTATATGAACTGATAAGAAATAAAAAGGGATTATTGTTCAGGGACATGTTATATTTGGGTGGAGGGGGGCAGTCTGGGATTTCCTGAGTGGTTCATCTCATAAGACGCAAAAATCTCAAGCATTTTCTTTGCCTAACTTGCCTAATTCAATGAACACATGCTAACCATAGTTTTATGGTATCTCTTTTCACAAGCGGTTTGTGTAAATAAAAACCACATGTATTTATTTTTGCTTCTTTATTGATGTATAAACAGTTCTCAAACACATTATCACGTCAGGACTGTTAAAATGAAGCATTAACTAAAGTTTAACTAGAAATGTATAGGAAACCCTGTAACACATCAAAAAGTATACATATTCAGCAACATTAAGCATCTTATCACTGATAATCATTTCTCTTTTTCCGAAGTCACTTTGCTAAGATTTTTTTCTCTTCCCAGTTTGACAGCAGATGTTGTCATTGCTGTGGCTGATGTGTCAGATGTTCACCGTTCACAAGTCAAGGTTGCTGCTGCTGCAGGATATAAAATAGTATGGAATGGAACCCCTCAGGGCCCGTTTAGATTTATGTGTGTCTACTAAGTTTTTGTAGCATTAGGCAGGTGCATTGTCATGCACCGTCTGCATTGAAATTTGTTTTGACGCCCATTGACGTGTTTTTGAATATAGAATTTGAAGTGGATAGAGTTAACAGCCCCTAACCAAGACTTTTTAACCACTTGCCTACTGTGTACTTTTACCCCCTTCCTGCCCAGACCAATTTTCAGCTTTCAGCGCTCTCATACTTTGAATGACAATTGCGCGGGTCATGCAACACTGTACCCAAACTAAAGTTTTATCATTTTTTAAATAGAGCTTTCTTTTGGTGGTATTTGATCACCACTGGGGTTTTTATTTTTTGCTAAACAAACTAAAAAAGTTTGAAAAAAAGTTTCTTAGTTTCTCTTATAAAGTTTTGTAAATAAGTAATGTTTCTCCTTCACTGATGGGCACTGATAGGCTACACTAATGGGCACTGATCAGGAGGCACTGAAGGGTACTGATAGGCTGCAATGATTGGCACTAATGAGGCTGCAATGAAAGGCGGCACTGATGGGCACTATTAAGGGGTACTGATGGGTGGCACTGATGTGCATTGATAGGCGGCACTGATGGGCATTGTTGGGCAGCACTGAAGGGCACTGATAGGCGGCACTGATGTGCACTCTTAAGCGGCACTGATGGGCATTGATAGGTGGCACTGATGGGCAGCACTGATGGGCGGCACTGATTAACTGATGGGCACTGATTGCCAGCAGAGATGGGCATTGATGGGCACTATTGGCCACAGTGATGAAGCTACACTGATCACCAGTACATTGATGATCAGTGCCCTGATGATCAGTGTAGATGCTGTCAGTGTGAGGAGAAGACTTCTGATAACCGTCATTTCCTATTTACCCGGTGATCAGCTGTGATTGGACACAGCTGGTCATATGGTATAAGCGGCTGCGATTGGCCCACTCCGTAGCCATGTGATGAGCTGTGTCTGAAGGACACAGCAATCACAGATCGTGATTGGGGAGCATGGTTGTGGGAAGACATCCATGGACACCCTCCCAGAACTAGCCGACCGCACTGTAGCCGTCTTTTCCTACAGTGCGGTCAGGAACTGGTTAAAGTGGAACTAAAGGCACAGATGCAGCACTTACCTCTGTTCCAACTGTCTGATGCCTGTGAGGTCCCTCACCAGCATTTTCTCCCCAGCTTCTTCCGGGTGCCAGTCTTTGTCCATCTTGATTGGCTGGTTTAGGATGACATCACTCCTATGCATGCACAGGAGTGCAGTCATCCCGGCACACTTCGAATATGCCAGAATGAATACTGAGCTGTGCATGCATAGCAAAGTATACATTCTACAAAGGACTGCGAACAGGCAGGTAAATGTATTTTATTGCATAAAAGACATTTCATGCCATTTCTGTAATAAATGCCTTCCTGTTCACAATATTTTGCCTTCAGTTCCACATTAACACTTGTTGCTAAGGCATCAAAATGCATGTTATTTATTTTTTTTATGTGTTGCTATTGGCTTCTATGGACCCGCCAAGCCACTGTGGGGTAGATTTACTAAAACTGTTGCACTCATAATCTGGTGCAGCTGTGCATGGTAGCCAATCAGCTTCTAACTTAAGCTTGTTAAATTAGAAGTTGACAATAAAACCTAGAAGGTGATTGGTTTCTATGCAGAGTTGCACCAGATTTTGCATTTTCCAGTTTTAGTAAATAACCCTCTAAGTCAACAGACAAACATACTGCAGCTCAGGAAATAATCCTAATAGCATGCCCATGCACTGGAAACCGAAGTGCAATTTTCTTGCACTGTGAACCACACTGCACTATGTGGTGTCCCTGTGGCCGAGTTTTCTAAAAAGGTGCAGGGACCTTGTCCCAGCAATTTCAGTGTATGCAGCAGCCCATACAATTGAATGGGCTGCAGTGCACCAGCAACACAGCTGCACGGAAACCGCACAAGTGTGAAGCTAGCCTAAAGCGTGCAGGGAAAATCAGACATGCTGTATTTTTTAAAAAGTGCTGCACTGCAGCTCTGAGATAGCAACAGAAACACTTTACTGTGGGGAACCACGACACGTACATTTTAGCATTTCAGAATGCATGCATTAAGACACAACAGTGTAAATGGCCATCAGAGATCAGATTACTGGACGCAGGACTCAGAGGTACATTGAATGTATGCTTCAGTTGCCCTTATTCCTACTTCTTTAACCTTGAATTTTTATGAACTTTAGTTGTCGATTAACTTTACAATTTGTTAAAAACCGTAAAGCAGACCTTACATTAAAATACAAGATGGCTGTCCCTTACTGTAAAAATTCTGCATCATAGAAATATAAATAACAATTCAGGATAAAATCATAAAAAAAAGTCTCATTCTAAGGTTTTCGGTGGGCTCATGTGGGTAAGGTAACACCAGAGGGTCTGCTTACAGGATCCTGGAAAAGTTGGGGATCACAAATTCTGCTAAACACGCTCCAGTATAGTGCAGTAGGATCCTTTGACAAGTGTTAAGATTTTAAGCTTTCCCAAGATCCCTCTGGAAGGCCCAGTAAAGAGGGGAGCAGCCAAAACCCAGGAGTAAACAGGGTGAAAGTGATTCAGTGACCAAGTATGTCTCCTGATCTTAGCCCAATCAAACACCTATGGGGAATTCTGAAGAGACAAGTTGAGCATCACTCTCCACCTAGCATCCAGACTCTAAAACAGGTCGTTCTTGAAGAATGGAAAAAGATAAATGTTGCAATATGTCGCCAACTTGTTCATTCCATGCCTAGAAGACTTGGAGCTGTCCTTACAAATCATGGAGGTCATTAAAAATACTAGATGTAGTAGTTTTTGTTGTGGGGTGTATTCATTTTTGCACCACATAATTTGAGTAATACTGAAGATTTCGTAATCTAAGTTATATTATTAACCTTACTTTCATGTAATGAGCTAAAAAATTTTCTATAAAACTCAGTTTTGTCAAAATTTTGGAAATTGTTCTTGTGTTCATTGAGATCTTGAATAAAATCTTACATTTTAAAAGGGGTGTACACATTTATGCCGAGTACTGTATTTTATGACAATGCAGGTATTATACAGAATTAAAAATTTCCACTCCTTAGTTTTTTCTATTCTGGATCTAATTATTATTATACTAAAATCATGACTCTCAAATTATTCTTTTATCAACCTCTTAGTATATTTTCTCCTCACCGACAGTGCTTATGCAAATGTCATCCAGAAAGGAAAATGGTGAACATGAAATACGTGTTAATTAATTTCCCCTTTCAGCACAGGAATGCCAGTAAAGTAAGATAAGTCAGTAGGGGGATGTCAATACTTTGTTATTGCAAAAATGATCGAGCCCTTACCTGATTTCTACAGACAGTTGACAGGCCACATTTTATAATTATTATTATACAGTGTTTATATAGCGCCAAAACGTTTGCTCAGCGCTGTACAATATAGTGGGGGACAGTACATGAGACAATACAGTAACAAAACAATATACGAGAGGTTCGAGGGCCCTGCTCTTTCGGGCTTACAATCGAAATTAAATTTACAGCAGAAACAACAGCCATTGGTTTGTTTACACTTTTTGATTGTAATACATATCTAGACGATTGTAGGGCCATGTCTTATGTATTACATCCTTGGAACCAAAGAGTAAAATTCCCAAAACATCACGTTGCATCAAGCAGAGATATTACAACATGCTGGACATTGTAACAGCTTTATTATTAGGTAACAGATTCAAAATACATGTCAAATCCTGAGTCCAAGGGCCATTTTGCTTGTGGTCATGTACTAACCAAGGCACCATTAACTGTCAATTGAAACCCTTGGAGTTCTTGGGATGTGACCCTGTTTGTATTTCTGCTATCTAGACATAATTATGTTATAATGCTCAAAGTACCCCAAGCCTCTCCACTTGCTAAACAACAGCAGGTTCACTTCAAGTTCAACATTGCTGCTCTGTACAATCATTTCTAGGTACACTTAGCTCATAGAAAACCCAGTCACTTATGCCCTGATACTAGAGAATAGGAGGTCATGTCCACAGAATTTATAATACATACATGAAGCTTGGAAGAGTTCCATCCACCCACTTCCATGCATGCTCTTCTTCCTGGTCAGTTAGTCCAATCCAGAAATTTCCTTTTTCATTTGTTTGTTTCTTAATGAATTGCTATAAAACAGAAAAAATACATCTTATGTAAAAAATATAAAATATCAAGGTAGCAGCCAATTAACTCTCCTGTTTTTCATGCAGCAATCAGTAAATTTGCATTTAAACATTACATGATCATCACACAATACTGTTAAAAGTGAGTAGGCACAGTGTGGAAGTATATGGAGTCAAACAGACCTGAAAAAAATACATTTGGGGCTATTGATCAGAAATGGTTTATTCAGACAATAGATTATTGCTCTCCCAAAGTAATTGTATACAGGAGTATATGCAGCATACTGTACATACCCAAATAAACTTGTAGGTTGCCAACCCAGCACAAACTTTATCCTGCACTGAGCCAGATTAGTGAAGCTCCTTTTCAACATATAAACTTTTCAGATCATAAATGCATACACATTGAACTTTATTCACATGTGTATGATTAGAAACTCCTATAGTATTACTAAAAAAGAGTCACTTTGAGATTCTAAGATGAGCTGGAACCCTGTTGTTTTTGGGTATTGGTTGGTGTTATGTTGGTCGAACCCATGTTTTAATGGCTTTGTTGCTAAAATATAGTTTAGAATCTTTGTTGGAGTTTTGTGTTTCCATGCATCAGATTTCAGACTTGGTGGTGGGTCTAGAACACCAGATTTTAACATCAACATTCCTGAAACTATATGACAGAAACTAGTGTTACATTTATAGATGTGCTGCAATGTATTTAGATAATCATTCAAATCACTTCCTACCTTTTTTTGAACATTAATATTCTTTGTATAATTAACTTACCTGCTCCTCTTTCGTTTCTATGACAACTAACATAGATCCTTTATCTTCACAGAAAAGTTTTGCATCATCAAATATATCTTTTCCACTTGAGAAATAGTAACACTTATCAGTATAATTCTTCCACTCATATGGGCAACCTAAAATGAAAATATATGCATTTTACATATTGTTTTTGGATCTCCAATAAATAAGAGAGAAAATACAGTTTAACCAGTTCCTTATGTCCTCCATCCTATGTACATTCAGAATATTTAATTCTGTGTGTCACAGTTATGCCTTGAAAATTATGCCTGCTCTGTGTGTCCCTGTCCAAGCACCTTATGCTCCACGTCTGTTTCTGAAACAGATTATAGATAGGTGCTCACCTTACTTATTATATCTTTGTCTTACATTGCTAAAAACAATATACAAAATTTTAACTTACCAGTCACTGCAGGACTCATCATGAATTCTGGCGTGGAAGCATCTGGAACTAACAGGGCTCTTGCAGCATCTCCAGGTGGTCCAGGTGGTCCTCTAGGTCCTGGAAGTCCAGGCAGTCCAGGAATACCTGGTGGACCAGGTGCTCCCCTGACACCAGGAACCCCAGGCTCACCAATGACTCCTTTTCCTCCTTCTGGGCCTGCAGGCCCAGGTGGCCCAGGTGGTCCATTTGCTCCAGGTGGTCCTGATACACCTGGATCTCCTTTTGGTCCAGGTTCTCCAGATTTGCCAGGTGATCCTCTTTGCCCTTTGTTGCCTTGCGAACCTCTTGAGCCTTTTGAACCTTTTTCGCCGGAAGGTCCTATTGGTCCAGGTGGGCCTTTATCACCAGCAGGACCTGGCACTCCTGGTTCTCCCTTTTCTCCCGTTTGTCCTTTTGGTCCAAGAGGCCCCATGGGACCTTGCATTCCTCTCTCCCCTTTAGGTCCTCTTGGACCTGGTGGTCCTGATAAAAACATTAAAATATATATTATTTATGTACTAATATATCTATAATGCAAAGCACATACATCAAAATTAAAAAAATATAGTGGTCCTGTAATACATACCCAACTCCACCCCTCCCCCCAGGTGAAATCTAAACTCTACCGTAAAAAATAAATATATTATGCACAAAAATAGGTGTCCAAAAAATACACTAAAATAATGGATCTCTTCTAAAGGGTTAGTTAGAGAAGAACACAATTTCCTTTATCCTCTCTGAAATTAAACTGTTCTTTTTACTGTGGTATAAGCCAGGACCCTGTTTTTTGTGACCGGTACTGTGAGTGGTTCCTCTACTGGGATCCAATATATATATACAAATATCAGTTTTATATTTATGTTTTGCAGGTCAGTTTTATGGTATCTTTCTCATTAATTCAAATCTTTGTGGCCAAATATTTCTTACAATGCAAAGAAATAAGTATATAGGAAATAATATTTGAAGTAAAATGTTTTAAACAAGTAAAAAAGTGTCAAGCAGTCAACCTCTGAATAATGGTTACCTTTGATTTTGATCTATGTGGCCTCTCTGAAAATATTTGTTATGACATAATGCCCACCTGACTACCAGGTCTAAGAATGAAACAGTATACTTTGTCAGTAAATTGTTGTAGTATTCTGCTACATGTTGATCCAGTCTTATAAAGAAACAGTTTTTTTATGGACCAAAAATAGCATTGGATGTAAAAATTAGGAAAAAATCCAAATATTCTCTAGGGAAGATTTATCCAATCCAATCACATAGCAATGTAGTGCAAAATAGGGATAAATATTTACTATGACCACAGCTTGGTTCATAAGTTACTTTTTTTGCTGATGAAAAGTTGGAATGTGGCAATATAAAATGTGTCATGATTATGTCTTAATGTTGTGTGTATTCTACTGTAATACAATAATAATTCCAACACAGACCTTTCTAAAGCTGTCTATTGGCTGGCCAGAACTACAGACACTGGGGTCAATATACACAGAAACCGGCAACAATTCCTTTACTAATGGAGAGACAGACTAATTTGAAAGAGACGTGTTTTCCATGTGTCAGTAAATTTCTTGATAAATCAAAAATAGCTCCTTGTCATACTAGTGAGTTTTACAGCATTTGCTGCCGCGCTGCAGTGCACAACAATAGAAATTACATTATTCCCTATGGTGCCCATTTACATCAATGCAGTGCAGCTAAAGCGTGTTTTTTGAAAAGGTGCAGGCCCTTGCTTTGGTGCAGTGTAGCGCTGTTTTGGCCCTTGAACTTCAATCAAAGTGTATAGAAAATGAGTGTGTTTTTGGCAGTCAAGTGTATAAAATCCAGTGTTCTTCTCCTACAAAAAACAAAGGATGCAGGAAATCGCATCAAGAACATGTGTAAAACACATCACAAACCATAAAGTCTCAGTACAAAAACACACTGAAAAATGCATCATCGTGCATTAGTGTGAACCAGGGCTTACTGAGAATTAATAATGTGTATATTTTTACTAAACAAATATAAGAAATATAAAAATAAATAATCAAAACTACCTTCTAGAACGCTAGTGTCATTCAGAAATATCCCATTTATTAAAGTTTCATACCACAGGGGAATTAATAAAAAGTGTCAAATGAGACAAGTTTTTCTTAACATAACAACCAATTAGCTTCTATATTTCATTTTTTTGACAGCCTAGAAAATAAAAGTTTAAAAGCTCATTGGCTGCTCTCCTGTTCAGACAGAGTTGAAACAAATGTTGTCTTAGACACTTTAGGGGTTATTTACTAAAACTGTGTGGCGTGAAATCTGGTGCAGCTTACATAGAACCCAATCACCTTCCAGGTTTTAATATCAAAGCTTAATTGAACAAGCTGAAGTTAGAAGCTGATTGGTTACTATGCACAGCTCCACCAGATTTTAAGTGCACCAAATTTGGTAAATCTCCCCCTCTGTTTTAATTTTCCATTTTCTGTTTATCTGTGGTATGCAGGCACAGCAGATAGTGCACTCCATCTGAGGTCTGTCTCTGATTATAATAGATACAGTATGAGGAGATGGGGGAACTTCTAAAAGGTTTTAGTAAAAAAAACACACAAAAAACACTATTTAAGGGTTACCTGAGCCAGTTAACACCTTTAAAGAAAAATCTGCCTCTTAGACCATTTGCAAAACCCATATAACATGTCAGTTACATAAAAAACGTTCACTACTTAAGGTAATGTAAAATAAAACTCATGACACAACTTGGAGATACTACAGAACATTTGTTAGGAAACACCCTCACAACTTTAAATTACTTTGCAATCATTAAGATCACTTTGTATACTCTTGAAGTAGATAATAATCTATTTTTAAAAAACAGACACTACATATCTACCCAGGTGCTAAAAATGTGCAATTTGTTCTGACAAATTTCATTGGCAACCACATTTAAGTAATGTTTAGAGCAGTGGAGTTCAGAAATCGATAGCATTCAATCAGATTTCACCTAGGGTAGTCAAAACAAATAAAAATAATTACTGGTTTGCTGCTAGAGATTGGTGCACTTTCCACATTCCAGAATTATGCTAGCAAGTTGATCGGCTCCTATGTAAATTGGCTGTAGTATGTCTGTACAAACTGGCTTTACACACATGTTATGACATTTTGGTTACTAGTCCTAAGGAAAGCAATTGGAGAAAGTGGAGGAAAGACCTGGCTCACTACCTCGTAAAACATTGGCCAAGAAAAATCTATGTACAATGACTTTCAAGCAGATCAGACATGATGCCCAAAGAGCTGACCCAAAGAATAGCAGAGAGTGCGATACAACTCAATAGATATACTGCACACATAAATACATACAGTACACACTGTATGTATTTATAGATAGATATACTGCACACATAAATACATACAGTACACACACTGTACATACATTGCCTTCTTTCTGGTAATATAGTTATAAATACCATACATATAGTAGTAAACAGTCTCTACTCTTGAAAATACCTTTATCATGACATAAGAGAATATTGTCAATTGAGCTCCAACAGTGATTTAGTAGAGCGGGCCCCATTATTTGCTACTGGTATTAGTGAACTGGTAATATGTGGACTTAAGAACCACTAACAAGAACACTGCTAACTCAGAGTGCGCCTTGCTCTCTTCCAAATGGGATGTATACACTTCATTATACCTCCTCTGTGGCAATACTGCGCTTAAGCAAAAAACTATCCTTACTTGATAGGGTAGCACTTAATAAGGAAGGATATACTCTTGGTAATTACATCAATAAAATGGGGAATCTGGCCCTACAGCTCCCTTGGCCCCACAATGGATGCCTTCTGGGGACCAATGGTCACCCTGGGAACAAAGTGCAGGATGCCACTTTGCTGTGCCAGGAGCGAACAGGGAGGTGATCCAAAAGACCATCTGACCTTATCACTATGTAAACAGAGTTTGCTGGAAATGGAAATTAACTCTTCCTGACTAACCCCTTCTTGAAGCAAACTGGTTGGATTCACTGCAGATTCTGATTTGAATTTCGTATGTCTACATCTATGCTTTTAAATCTCTTAAATGAGACCTTGCTTTCTTTCTTTCTTGATAGTACAGGATATTTGTTAGAAAACATTCTACAACTTAAAATTTCTTTGTATTCCTAAAATATAGTTGCATTATTTAGTCTATTACACTGGTTGTGCATTGGCTGTGTTACAAAGTACCATGTTTACTTCTGGCTCAGTAGAGCAGTAGGTAATCTGATGAGGTTGCCTATGTATACCTTGAGGTCAGGCCGCCACTTTTTTTGCACTGTTTTAGATATATATGTATGTGAACAGCTTTATACAAATATTAGTAAGTGTTAATGGTCCAAAACAATTGTTTCAGTGTACAGTTTCTAAATATACACAAACAAGGGGGTAGCCATATTTGCTCATTACATATGCAAGCTCTGCTTTCTATGAATCACTGACTGTGATTTACTGCTTCTTTCTTTCTATGCAAGTCTATGGGTGAGATCTGACCTGATTTGAAAGCATCTTTTTCCATGTAAAGTCTAGTACACACATGATCAGAAAATTGGACGAAAATACGCTTTCAAAGCAGTCATACAATAATATGATCGTTAGTAGTACACAGCTTTCATCCGAAATTATTCAAAGGAAAAAACACAGATTTTTTTTTGCATGATACAGATCATACAATTTTTCATTTAATCGGTACAGTATTTGTTCGAAAAAAATTGGAAGAGCAATACCACCCATGTTCAGAAACAAAAGAATACATTACAAAACAATACAACACATTACATCACTTCCAAAAATGGATTCTGGAGTACGAGAATTTTTGTAACTTTAGTAACCTCTTCAATTTCGATATGAGACTAGCATAAAAGAGGATAAAAAAGGATGATCATGATGACCTGGTACACACAATATTTCTTATACACACGATAAGTCTATGGTTAGATCTGACCTGATTAACACGTTCCCACCCACCCACCACGACCCCTTTAACTGGGTCTTAAGTTGGTAAATGAGGGAGTGATGAGCTTGCTGATCAGTTGACCACTGTGATTGGCTGTCACAGTGGTCACATGATTGGTAGTCCATCCTAAAGGCGCCCGATCATAACTAGAGACATGGAGCTGTCGGGCACTCTGCTGGGAACCTACACCAAACACATTCTCAGCACAGAAACCTCAGCCGCCATGGATGCATATGTGCAGTGTGTGGGTGTTAAGGTCTACCCTCCAAACCGCTTCACATATGCGTTACCTGGCCAACAAGAGGTTAAAAGCAATGAGAACATTTCCTCTCACCTTTTGTTCTGGTGTAAAACTGTAACATTTTGGATTATCTAAAATTTTCTGTCATGGAGACAGTGGTCATCACAGAATGATAGCACACATCTCCCTTTTGAGGACACAAACAGCATAACAAATCTGACAGGGGCTTTAGTTTTTTTTTACCTAAATTTTTTATCTAAAACAAGAAAAAAATATTTGGGAAGAAATGTAGAAAACTTGTTCTGTGAGGAATACTTGAGTTGCCACTGGTTACCTGAAAACAATTATGGATCAAGGTAAAAAAAAACTCTTGACTTACATACATGTGGTTGGTATTCAGGCTAAGGTGTCAGCGGATAGTCATGCAAATAGCAAATTTTGGAAGTGGAAGCCATCATTGATAGCCTTCATACTTTAATCCTTACAGGTTTTCATGAAGCACGGAATGAAAATCACCTTCCATGATATAAAGATGACCATTGTTGAAAATATACTATACACTGGGAGAGATTTACTAAAACTGGTGCACACATAATCTGGTGTAGTTCCGCATAGTAACCTATCAGCTTCTAGGTTTTAGTGTCAAAGCTGAACTGAACAAGTAGAAGTTAGAACTGATTGGTTACTATGCAAACCTACACCAGATTCTGAGCGCTCCAGTTTTAGTAAATATCCCCCATTGTACATTTACCAACATGAAACTGATACTGAAAAAACATTTATTTATAAATGTTTTCACACAAGATTCACACAACTGTTCTCCAGGATTCACACTTGCTTCCAAATGAATCTACTTAAGAAATGTGAATAGCTTGGGTGTGTATCTTGGGTGCTTGCACAGACACACCAAGCTTTGGGCCTTCCATATCATCTCGCCTTTGCGCATGAACACCTGCATGTGCGCAGATCTGCCGTAAGTCTCTGCCTGAATCCGAAGCCCTGCAGAACAGGGCCTAGGTGAGTAAGATAAACATGCTGTTCAGTTTAAAAAAAATAAAATAAAATCCAATGTGAGAAAGGGAAGGGGGGGGGGGGTTAGGGGAAAATGATTTTTTATTTAGGGTGAAGATCCATTTTACCCTAAATTCTTCCTAAAATCAGTATAGTTGTCCAACCCCATACTACATAAAACAAAATAATATACCAGTAGAGAAAATCAGAAACATTCAATGACATGTTCTCACCTTGAAGTATAGTGAAATTCTTAATCAGCTGTCCATGCTTGGAGTCAACCACCTTCATTTCTTCCATGATAACTGATAAATTAGCTACTTCATTATCTAATCTTAGTCTCATATTGTCCTGCTGAGCTTTTAGAGATGTTGTGTCCAATTGAACATTGGCGAGAGAATTATTTAACTGAATTAAATCTTCTGTGTGCTTAGTCAGTGTGTCAGTGCAAATCGTCCTCACATCATTAAGATTGCTAGTCAGCGTCCTGAGATGGTGAGCAGTATGGCTAATGTTGCTAATAATTCCTACTATATCCTCCTCAAATTTTTGGAAAACGTTCTTCCAAATAGTTGAATTTAGCATTCGTCCTATTCTCATATTCTTTGTGGTAATCCTGGAGGTCTTTTAGATTTTGTTCATTTGTCTGAGCGATCACTGTGATGTTGTCAATTTGGCTGTTAAGAGCATTTAGCTGACTGCTCATATCTTCTACTGTCTCATTGTTGGCTTTGACAAGAGCCGAGTTGTTAGCTGCTATGCTTTGTAAGTTTTGTACCCTCTCTCTCAGCCATTCTGTATCCTTTTTAGTTTGAAGAACAGCCTGCTGTAAGCTCAGAAAATCATTCTTGATACGTTGTATAGCTTGGCTGGTATCATCCACAGACCTCTGCAAAGTGCTTATAACTGTCCTCTGCTGGGTTTGTGTTAAATTCAAATTGCTAACACTCATAATGATTACATTGCTTGACTGCATTTGGTGTTGAAGGTTTGTTTGAAGGCTGGTGGTATCTTGTTGCAGACTGGAGACATAACTGTTATAGACTTGCAATGTTTGATTGATTCCATTAATCATTAGAGAGTTATTGTCTAATGCACTTTTCATTTGGCTTTGTTTAGCATCCAGAAGGTCTCCAGACTCTTTTAGCTTCTCCAGAGCATCTTTGTTCCTGCTGCTTTTTTCTGTGATCTCTCGGAGTTGCTGGCGAATAGCCACAATATCTGACCTCACACTTGATAGTTCACTATTGGTGCTGTCTGATTTTTCTCCTGCTTGGTCATCTGTAAAATTTATTTATAACTTGAACAAAAGTTTATACAGATGATACATAATATACAGTTTAATCCGATTATTTAAGTGACCCAGAGCCTGGTCCAAAAAAAAACTACAAGTGACAAATCTGCCCCTTAAACTGAGATACCATTTGTTCAATTTAGACATTTTTCGCTAGATCAGGCAATGAAACCAGGTAATTAAGTGTGCACATGACCTCCACATGATCATGCTTGGGAGGAGTAATTGATCAGGCAGGTTAGAAAAACTGTCATGGTATCTACTGTAACACCCTGTGTTTAAGCTAGTACCAGTGTCCTGCTCCCTGCTCTGTTCCTGTCCTTTTCATTGCAGCTATCTGTGAATCTGTACAATTGACCATCATCTTAGGTCTATGGACAGACTCCTTCTACCCTGGCATTTTGCTGTTGAATTGACCATCACTTTAATGGAAATAAAGCAGAACTCCAGGCAAGCAGTGAAATACCTTGAATATATATATATATATATATATATATATATATATATATATATATATTTCACTGCTTGCTACTGCTTTATTATATATATATTGCTACTCCCTTAAGAGCCTCTGGATTTTGGGCCCCCTTATCCCTGCACAGCCAGGCAACACGTATTTTCCAACTTCCATTGAGAGTCAGTAACCATGGGCTGGTTTTTGTTGTTTTATTTGGGGAAAACAACTTGGATAGGGTCTAGGGGTATATGGAATGTTCAACTTGACTTAAAACAACAACTCTCAGGACAAACTTCTTAAATTCTGTACAAAAATAATGGATCTTGGACTTTCTTCTCCCTCCAGAGTGGAATCAGTCCCTTGACGGATCAGTAACACAGTCTCTGTAACAGGCAGTTGGTCCCCAGCTAAAAACTGACCATCCACCTGGCTGTCTTTGAAGAGTATCCCAGAGCAGGAGATTCTAGGACAGACTAGCATTGTCCCAGGGAGAACTGGTTGGGTATCCTGTAGCTTTGGATAAACGTTGGATAAATTGCTTTCAGGCTTTTTCTGGGCTAGGCTAACAGCTGCTGACCTTTCTCTCTTCTGGCTCCCACCCACTGGCTTCTAGAAACTTCTCCAAGCTTCCAGAACCAGGGGGAGGTACCAGAGACCTGACCTGTAGATCCCTCCAACAAGACCTAAAGTAAACCCACTGACTCACGCCCAGGCTTCTAACAATCCTCTAATTATTTACACCAGAGGGCATATATATATATATATATATATATATATATATATACACACACACATTATGGTTATTATTGTATAAACTGTACTGCAGTTGAGCAATATAACCTGGGGTAAGACCCCCTCTCACTTCACCTGTGATTAGACAATTGGCAGTGCTAGCATATCAAGATGAATTCAAGATGAATTCATGTATAGCTAAAAGTAATTGGCTGTATTCAGCTGGGCTTAATCTGTAATATTGAAAGACATTTCACTACTGTTTTAAGTAGCATATTCAGCTCATTAAAGATTAAGTAGAGATGAATGTGACTAACTACTACTAGCTATGACCTGGATAAATGCGCATCTTCACAGACATGAATTCAGGTGTTTTTGCTGATTTATTTTTTTAATCCATAACTGAATTAAATGTTAAATACATTTCGACTAGGATTTAATAAGCAGGTGTGTTTGATTAGGCACTGGGTGAGAGTTTCTTTTGTATCCAGTTCTTCAAACTGGGGGTAATTAAATGGGAACTATACAATGGAATTGTAAATATTCAAGGTCCACATTATTTTATTTTTGTATGTTTACAAAATTTTAATGATTTATCATTTTTCTTTATTACTTACTTTATATACATTTTTTTATTTTACAAATAAACTTTTAATGTAGGGTGCATTCATTATTTTAGTTTTGGAAAGAGAAAGCAAAGCAGGAATTGACCCTTTTTCATCTTTTTCTAACTGAAAATTTCTATGAGCAGAACAGGGATGGGGAAGGTGAGTAACTCCTTTGGCTCATTCAGCTGTGTATGTAACCTGAACTTCAGTTTTTTGGCTCTGTTGAACAGCTTTTTTAGCAATGTAATTACGCTTAGCTTTTGAAACATGTTAAAAACCCAGACTAGAAACAGTGCAATAGAAATATATGCAAGATTTCATATTTACCTTGTACAATAAGTTAACACATTTTTAAATGTATTTTACCAGTATTTACCTACAGTAAACAATCGGATTGAATCCTTTGAGTTTCAGTTCATAATACAGCATCATTTTTGATTGGTTGATACTGTATATTACTGCATTATTGCTGTGTAATTTAATTAGTCATTAAACTTTGAGTATATTTAATATGAAAAAGTGCAGCGCTAATAAACAAAATAAATGTGCTATATCAGAGACTGGCCACACCCTCAAATAGACAGTATGAAGTCCATAGGAACAATGTCCGGTAAATGACAAATGGATGAAATGGTGACTTTGTTACTCCCAGTGAGGCACATGAACATACATAAAAGCAAATGGAGGCTATCGCCAATGAAATGTAGACAAAGCATGCAGCAAAACCATTCATAAACCATTTAGAAAAACTGACCAGCTGGATAGTTATGGGGGCCACCGGACCTCCTTGATCCGGTGGCGTGACGTCTCAGGCGTGTATGGCTCCTCCTTAACACGTTTCGCACACAAAGTGCATCCTCAAAGTGCTGCACTTTTTCATATTGTATATATTCAAGAGGTTATATGGTGTCCTTGTAGTGTATCAGCAGCTTATGTTCTCATCATCTTAGCGCCCGCTGAATCACCTTTATATTCTGTTTGTATTAAACTTTGAGTGTCTGCCTGTGGTTCACAGAGCCATTACTGTATTAAATATGTTTACAACAAAGGGAATTTTTATAATGAATATACCCTGTAAGATACCATAATATTTAATGTAAAATGATACTGCATTTGAAACCTTTTCTTTTCAGTGGGTTACAGTATCAAGCTTTTGTTCACTTTGAATGGTTTCCAGGGGTTAGTGCAGCTTGCACCTTGACCCTTGCTTTACTCAATATGTGCAGTACTACGGTGTACTAAGAGGCAGCATAATGCATTATTTCAGGCAGCAACTGCCCTTTGTCAGCCTAGAAAAATACATCACAGATTGAAGTTACACAGAAAGTAATATAGCAACACATGTTTAATGTTCATAGATGTAGTCGTTATGCGTAAGCGATGAAATCTCTTAGATTGAAAGCTCCCAGGATCAGGCCCTCCTTTCCCTCTTGTATTAAACTGTATTGTGGCTGTATTGTCTCCCATTATATTGTAAAGTGCTGAGCAAACCGTTGGCGCTATATAAATCCTGAATAATAACAATAATAATTAATCAAAGCAGGCTATTATGAAAAGTTATTTTGTGCACTCATCTGTGCAGTTATGTGTTCTCAAAACTCTTCTATGTTTTCTAACAAATTTTGATCAGATCTATTATCTTGCACTGTATCACAATAGGTTATGACTGACTGTTAAATTTTGTTTTAAAGCATTTTTTGTAGTCTCTTTGTTTACTAATTTAGTGGAAGGGTTAAAGAGTAACTCCACTTTTGGTGAGAAAAAAAACATTACTCTCTAGATGATCGATGTACTTTGCAGGGATTTAACCAAACTTCATTACAGATTCCTTCCTTTTGTTACTCTGAAGAAATAGCTGTTTGTTTGTCTGTGTCCGTGTGCAAAGTGAATGTGAATGGGAATGACTTTATAATTATCAGTCAGCTGCTGCACTTGCAGGGTTCTAATGAGGAAAGTGGTGGGGTCTGAATTACTTTACATGTGATTAACCTTTTGGAGGATCTCACAAAAAATGAAATTTTTGTTGCAGGGGATGCCCAAAAGCGGACTTGCATCTAAGTGCAGACTTCTGGGAAAAATGAGTGAGCCAATCACACAAGCAGGAAATGACTTTCTGGGGAAATACCGTACACCATCTGTGTACAAAACGTCTCTGGGTTGCCACATTGCCTTGCATTTTACAAAGAGCTGCAGATTGAAAAGGAATAAGTAATTTTTAATAACATTCAATTACATTATGACTAGTGTAGCAATTGTACTGTATATGCTATATTCATTTTATTATTTGTTATTTTTTTCCTGCAAAAGTGTAATTATCCTTTAAGGTGTTTTAAAATTAACAGCGCAATTCCCAGAGAAATTGTTTCCAGATTGGCTTGTAAACCAAGCTAATTTAAGCTAAGCAAGAATTTAAAAACCGGTCTCCAGGCTTTATTTTGCTGAGAAATCACTGTGAAAAACACCCCCTAGCATTTCTGGCCGTGTCCATCTTGAGTAAGGGCAGGTGATTCATGAAGCATTTACTTCCTGGAATCCATCTGCCTTTAGCTCAGGCATGCAGGCAGGAGGGTGTGCTTAGCTGAGAAAACCCCTCCTGCCCACTCCCGGGATCTACGGCATCCTTTGCCTAGGCCTGGAAACCAGGAAGTAACTGAAGAATTTTGAAAACAAAAAAAGTTCAATATAATATACTTTCCTACCTATTTACTAATGCTAGCAGCATAAGGATTAAAGAAAAGTCAATATTGAGAGAGTGAGGTTCTGTTTTAATCTGGAGACGTATTGTTATTACTTAGGAAACCAAAGGAATTCATATATTATTTTTTATGAGACAGACAGGGCTGTCTTGTGCAGTATTGTTTTACAATATGCATATACCTTTATAGGCAATCTACAAAAACATGTAACAGTACATGTACCTGTAGGAAGAAAGGCTTCAACTCTACATGCTGAGATGTTAGAATAGTGTTTTACATGAGAAGATTAAAGCTTGCTCAGTATACAGGCGTACCTCGGTTTATGAGTTTAATGCGTTCTGCAGGACGTTTCATATTGTGAAAAATTTGTAAATCGAAACGTGTTTTCCCATAGGACTGCATTGAAAACGAATTAATCCGTTCCAGAAAAAAGTTTAAAAAAAGTCTTTTATCTGTTCAAAACTCTTTATATAGTGCACTTTAAAGGCATAAATACTGTACAGGGACATGATTAAAAAACATTTGTCAATGCATTGAAAACCAATTAATCCATTCCGGAGGTCAGAAAAAAGTTAAAGAAAATCTTTATCCGTTCAAAACTCTTTATAAATTGCACTTTAAAGGCATAAATACTGTACAGGGACATGATTAAAAAAAGAATTGTAAATGCATTGAAAACTAATGAATCTGTTCTGGAGGTTGGAAAAAAGTAAAAAAAAAAGTCTTACCTGTTCAAAACTCTTTATAAAGTGCACTTTAAAGGCATAAATACTATACAGGGACATAATTAAAAAAAAATTTGTAAATGCATTGAAAACCAATTAATCCGTTCCGGAGGTCAGAAAATCAGAAAAAAGTAAAAAAAAAAAGTCTTATCTGTTCAAAACTCTTTATAAAGTGCACTGTAAAGAAGGCACGGGGCCGGCACTATAAACGCTTTGTATTGCAAAAAAAATTCATAAACCGAAGCATTATTGTTTTTCATTTGTAAACCAAAAATTACGTTAACCGAGGCGTTCATAAACCGAGGTACACCTGTATTCCAGTTGTAAAGTGTGTAGGAAAAAAAAAAAACCCCTGCAAGGTAATGGCATAATGGGCTACTGTGCATTGCATCCTAGAACATTATGGGAGACTTACCTGAAAACAAAGCCCTCCAGTGGAACGCTGTCACCACTGACGGGGCTTCCATCTTCACTCTGTCTTCCTTCCAGGTTCAGGGAAGGAAGATTCAGGTTTCCAGGGCTCCAGCTGTTTTAATGATCGAGTCACGTTGACGTCATGGCCGCGGCACAGCGCTCTGAAGAGATGGAATACTCAGTATGCCGTCCCTTCAGAGCACAGTGCGCATGCACCAATGATGTCACCGACTGCTAAAACTGTGAATACCTCCTAAATGGTGCACGTTTAGGAGATATTCCCTGTACCTACAGGTAACCTTTATTATAACTTACCTGTAGGTACAAGTCGGCAAGCAGTGTTTACTACTGCTTTTAGAAAGATAGGTATTTGTTTCTAAATGAACAAAATATAAATTACTATTAATATTTATAAGAAATAAAACTGTAGATTTCAGTGAGTATCATTGCCTTTGGAGAAGGATTGTTTTCCCTGTGAAGAAAATCTGACCATCCTTTATAAATCTTGTTTGCCTTCTTCTGGAACATCTGAAAGTTTAGCCTTCTGGGAATTATTTTGGTTGTACTCCACGGACATGTGTTTTTTTTATACATATAGTACATATATGTAACTATTAAATAATTATTGTTCACTATGAAATCAATAAATGCAGGTGAATATCATTCCACTTGTTAATTTACCTAGTTTTTTCAAGTTCTGCTGTACTTCTGTGATTTTATTATTGTAACCCATGTGTGACTTTTCCATGTCATCTGAAACACCATCCATTCTTTCTACAACTGAAAAGAAGAGAAAAGCACTAGTTAATTTGCTGTTAGCATCACTGGTGTAACAGAACTGTGTTAGCAAGGCCTTGCACACCCAGGCTCATTCGTGTAAAAAAACCGGAACAGAATCAGGCACAGCAAAGTAAAAAAAAACAACTGATTTCTACACGCCCTTAAAGCACCCTTTCCATCTGGAGTGGAAGTGTTGAATAAAAAATCTAGCTTTAGATAAAATTCTTGCAGACTTCAATAAAAACACACAAAGCTTACAGGCCTCAACCAAAAAAAAAAATATCGTCATAAAATGTTATAAACCATTCACTAACCCACATGGAAGAAAAATATATTTTAAATATATTAAAAAACTACTCTTCCCAAATATATTGACATATATTTGTAATGCTACAATTTTGGCCATATTCAATATATTTCAAAATAAATTTAAATAAATATATATATATATATATATATATATATATATATATATATATATATACTGTATGTTGAAATGCATTTTTATTACAAAATATATGAAAATTATTTGTAAAAATACATTTCATACATTTTTCAAAATATATATTTTTTAAAATATATTCTTCAGATTTTTTTTTAATATATTTTTACATATATTTTTAAATGCATTCCAAAAATGCATATTTGTATTTTTAAAGACATACCGTACATTTGAAATGTATTTTAAAAATTATTTTTCATATATTTTGTAATTTATTTATTTAATCTATTTCAGGTACTTATATAGCGCCGTCAATTTACGCAGCGCTTTACACATATATATTGTTTATTCACATCAGTCCCTAACCCTCAAGGGGTGTACAATCTAAGGTCCCTAACTAACATTCATACATACACATACTAGAGACAATTTAGACAGGATCCAATTAACCTACCAGCATGTCTTTGGTGTGTGGGAAGAAACCAGAGTACCCGGAGGAAACCCACGCAGGCACAGGGAGAACATGCAAACTCCAGGCAGGTGGTGCCGTGGCTGGGATTCGAACCAACGACCCTAGTACTGCCAGGCAGAAGTGCTAACCATTTAGCCACTGTGCTAAAAAAAGCATTTCAACATACAGTATATATGTATATATATATTTATTTTTTTTAATATAATTTAAAATATATTTAAAATGGCCAAAATTGTAGCATTCCAAATATATGTCAATATATTTGGGAAGAATATTTTTAAAATATATGTCAAATATATTTTTCTTCCATATGGGAAGCTATCATAAAGACCATGAATCAATGTTTAAAAACATCTTTCTATTGCACAAATGGATATAGAAAAAGAGTAATTAAATACTACTCCAGAGAGACACTGGGGTTGATTTACTAAAGTCAAATAGGCTGTTAGCTTTGAAAACATTTTTTCCCTTAGCTTAGTGAATGCAGTGAAAATGCACTTTGCAAAGAATACCCAATCACATGCAAGGAGAAAATACAGTTTTTTTTTTCTGGCACATGATTTTATGATGGGAGTCAGCAGAGCAAAATTCCCTTGCAAAGTGAACAGCCCATTTGCCTTTACTAAATCAACTCTGCTGTCTCTTAATAAGGTCCGTATGATTGAATGGTGCATAAATCCAAATTGCATAACTGCCACAAATTCAAATGACTAGAATTACGCAAATACATCCCATATGCAGTTTTATGCAAAACCAAAAAGTTGCCAAGAATTCCACAAATACGAGAGGGAAGATTTCCAGTGTCTAAAACCATTGGGTATAATTCAGTTTACAATAACATACACTGCACAGTCACAAGATTATTTGAACATTGGCCGATCAGGCTTCCACAGGCGATCAGATGAACCCAGGTGCAGAATTCATATACAATAGGTACTTAGTCCAGCTAAGTATGTAATTGGTAAGAAACTGTATTTGTTGATAACAACAATGATGTACTCTGCATGGAAGAATTGATATAACTGTACCAATGCAGTTCTGTATTTCCAATGGGACCGCAATTATATTACAAATGCATGGATTATACCATGGGTAAGCCCAACCTATATACAAGTAGTATGATCTTTGATTAGTCATAATGAGCTATTGGCAATGGAGTCCATTCATGGAGCTGTGTGGAGCCCACTGTAATAACATTATGCACGAAAATGTCTAAGACCTGAAGTTCCATGAAGTGTCTGTAATTCTCATATGGAGTAAAATAACGCTCATACAGCCAATTTACCACAATAACAAGCATTATGTATTTTCTCTTGCATTTGAACAGCTTAAATTCTAGAGTGCAAGGTAAATGCATATTAAGCCTATCTTAAAAGCACTCCTGACTTCCTGAAGGACAGAAATGGATGGCATTCAGTGCCATCACACAGCTCACACATAGAAAATGACACTGTTACCTGCATAGTAAAGCAAGCAACTTTAACCACTTGCCCTCCAGAAGATTTAACCCCCTTCCTGACCAGGCCATGCAATGTGAAACTTTAACTGACAATTGCGCGATCATGCAATGCTGTACCCAAAATTAAAATTAATGGCCCTTTTTTCCCACATGTAGAGCTTTCTTTTGGTGCTTTTTGATCACCTCTGCATTTTTTATTTTTTGCGCTATAAACAAAAAAAGACATTTTTGGAAAAAAAAACAATATATTTTATTTTCTGCTATAAAACATCCAATAAAAAAATGTTAAAAATCTAATTTCTTCATAAATATGGATCAAAATGTATTCTGCTACTTTTTTTGGTAAAAAAATCCCAATAATTGTATATTGATTTGTTTGCGCAAAAGTTATAGCATCTACAGATTATGGTACATATACTGGAATTTTTAAATTCCTTTTTTTATACCAGTAATGGTGGTGATCAGCGACTTATAGCGGGACTGCGATATTGCGGTTGGACATTTTTACACTAACTGACACTTTGTGGGAACCATTGACCCTAATACAGTGATCAGTGCTAAAAATATGCACTGACACTGTACAATGGCTGGGAAGGGGTTAACATCTAGGGTGATCAAAATGTTAAGTGTGTGCCTAGCCATGTGCTTGATGTACACTAGATGGTACTTTTACTATGGGAAGTAATGGATCATGTTTCTCAGCTCTACAGAGAGAAACTATTCATGACTTTCCCCTGTCACAACAGTGCTATGGCTATATAAATATAGCCATAGCTCTGTCCTTCCTCCCTGACTGACGATCTGCAGGTGCCAGTGAGCAACTACTCACCAGGGCTTGCAGATCATTTTATGCTGTGACAATTCGCAGCTGAATACTTCCTCCGGCAGCGCACACTGTGTTGCAGAAATGTAAAATTACATTTATATATGTGATTTTGCACAGGAATGCCACCCTGTAGCAGTAAAAACTGCTATAGGGCTGAGGGAAAGTAGTTAATCACATAGGGGCTGGTAATATGACATGCTACAAACACTCCTTTACAAGATGGGTTGTCCAAGAAGCCTTTTCTTTTTGGCACTGTGGCTGGTGGTTGCACTCTGATGTTGTCTCATACAATGTAGAACCAGCAGTCCTGTATTGTACATAAGGACAGGTGAGGCCAAGCTCGACACATCAGAGAGAAGTGGGGAGTGTGGGAAGAGTGCTGGAGCATGGAAAAAGGTAAGTATTTATAGCTTATTTCTCTATTCCCAGACCTAACAGACAGTGCAGGAGGTCCCCAATGCAAGGGTATTTTTAAACAAATTCCGGATATCAGCTTTCAAAAAATGATGCACATCTATTAAAATGTGACTCATCTCCTAAGTCTATTGTTTAAGGTGATTAAAGTTACTTGTTGCCAGTGTGCAGCATTGTCTTCTTTTTTTGGAACTTGAATGGGTCACCAGCAGAACAGATGTTTGCAGGACGTGCTACAAAGCAGATGCCACTGGGCTTAAAGGAAAAGTATGGCTTTATTAAAAAAAAACAAACGACCATACTCACCTCCATGCTGCGATCAGCAACAATCAGTAGTCATGTGATCGCTTAATTCTCTGTCTTAGGGCCAGCATGCAGCGGTCCCATGCTGAGTATGGCTCTAATTGCACTGCACCTTTGTACCAAAAAGGTGCAGGACCCTTTTTTGGTCCGCACTAGAATCGGATACCATGGGTATTCACACACCTATGCGATCCGATTTTGCACATCGCACCACATTTTGCGGACCGATTTCGGGGTGTTGTTAACATACACACCGGCAAGCGGTTAGCATGAACGGGGTGCGATTGTGATGCGCGTGCGGAATTCGCACAGAAAACACTGCGAATTCCGCACCGCATCAATGTGAAACCCGAGCTAAGAGACAGAAAACTAAGTGATCACATGACTGCTGATTGCCAAGCTCTCAGTCTGCTCGCAGTGTCAGTCACCGCTTTCTGCTCTGTTTCTCCAGTGCTCACTGGAGCAGCAGACTGCAGAGGGAGCAGGTATGGCTAGCTCCAGCTCTCTGCCACCTCTGAAAGGTGAATCCACCTGTCAATCAGGCAGCCAGGTGGATCCTGACAATATTGCATGGGATTCTTCTGAGCCTGGCACAGCTCTGGCATGTCAGCTGAAAGCAGCAATAGCCCTCTAGAGCAGTGGTCGGCAAGCCGCGCTCTTTACACAAGCTAATGCGGCTCTTCTGTGTGTGCCGGGCGCCCGCTCCCCTCCCTCCTCTCGGGCGGCCGCCCCAAAAGTTAGGACCTTTTAATCCGGCCCGCGGATGTGGCTGTCAGGGCTCCCAGGTATGACCAGAGAGTGTGTGACTGAAGCAGGGAAACGCAGACTTCAGATATGTGATTAACAATGTAATTTATTAACACTAACAATACAAACATATTGCAATACTAAACATAATACAGTGCAAACAAACCCAACCAACCACCCACAGATAACAGTACATACAAGCAAGCGTTGTCAGTGCAGGCCGAGTCAATATCAATTGGGCAGGTAGGTACAGGGGGAGCAAGCGGAGAATGGTCGGGTCACAGGCCAGGTTCAGCAGGTAGCAAGCAGCGTAGTACAGAGGGTCAGGCAGAGGGATGGTCAGGGTCACAAGCCAGGGATCAGAACAGGTAGCAAGCAGCGTAGTACAGAGGGTCAGGCAGAGGGATGGTCAGGGGTCACAAGCCAGGATCAGAACAGGTAGCAAAGGAACAGAAACAGGATGCAGGACAGATACAGGGCCAGGACAAACACAACACCAAGCAGAGTCTGCAAGTCTGGCCATCCCTTAAATACACCAGTATCATCAGTTCCAGTGTTAGCTGGCTGAAAGGTTGAGTCTCTGATTGCTGGGAGCACCCGCTGGCCAGCCCTGGTACTGCAGATCAAAAGGCAGGTGAGGAGTCCCACCATTGCTGGCCAGTCCATTCCTGACAGTACCCCCCCCTCAAGGAGCGGCCTCAGGATGCTCCAAACAGTCCTAGCTGGGAAAAATGTTCCACCGCCCGGGTCTGGTAACTGGCGGGATAGTCAAAGACTGGCACACACCGGGCAGGACTCCGGCAGCGGTACACCGGGCAGAGGCACATCGGGCTGGACTCCGGGCAATGGCACATCGGGGCTGGACTCCGGGCAGAGGGCACATCGGGCTGGACTCCGGGCAGAGGCACATCGGGCCTGGACTCCGGCAGAGGCACATCGGGCTGGACCGGGCAGAGGCACATCGGGCTGGACTCCGGGCAGAGCACACTGGGCAGAGGCACATCGGCTGGACTCCCGGGCAGAGGCACATCGGGCAGGACTCCGGGCAGAGGCACATCGGGCAGGACTCGGGCAGAGGCACATCGGGCAGAGGCACATCGGGCTACCAGGCGAAGCGGCAGGCAGCGGGCCACCGGGCGGAGCGGCAGGCACCGGGCCCCCGGGCGGAGCGGCAGGCACTGGGCCCCCGGGCGGGCGACAGGCCTCGGGCCCCCGGCGGGGCGACAGGCCAAGGGCCCCCGGGCGGGGCGACAGGTCTCGGGCCCTCAGGCGGAACTACAGGTCTCGGCCCTCAAGCGGAGCGCGGCGGGTGCCGGACCCCCAGATGGAGCGACAGGCCTCGGGCCCCCCCAGGCGGGGTGACAGGCATCGGACCCCCAGGCGGGGCGACAGGCATCGGGCCCCAGGCGGGGCGACAGGCATCGGCCCCCCAAGCAGGGCGGCGGTGCGCCGGACCCCCAGGCGGGAAACTAACAGGCCTGGGCCCTCAGGCGGAGCGGCGGGCGCCGACCCCCGGGTGGAGCGACAGGTCTCGTGCCCTCAGGCGGAGCGGCGGGAGCCGGACCGCACCCCAGGTGGAGCGACAGGCATCGGGCCCCCAGGCGGGGCGACAGGCATCGGGCCCCCAGGCGGGGCGACAGGCATCGGGCCCCCCAGCGGGGGCGACAGGCATCGGGCTCCCAGGCGGGGCGACAGGCATCGGGCCCCCCGGCGGAGCAGCAGGCACCGAGTCACCAGGCACGACAGTGGCTCCGAGTCAACTGGCATGACCGCTGGCACTAGGTCAGACATTGGATCGTCTGGCTGGACAGCGGGCATCGGGTCACCAGGCATCAGGTCATTTGGGCTCGACAGCGGCACCGCGTCATCTGGCAAGGCAGTGGCGCTCCGAGTCAACTGGTATGACCGCGGGCCACTGGGTCAGACATTGGATCGTCTGACCGGACAGCGGGCACTGGTGGTCACCAGGCATCAGGTCATTTGGCTCGACCGCGGGGCACCGCGTCATCTGGCAAGGCAGTGGGGCTCCGAGTCAACTGGTATGACCGCGGGCACTGGGTCAGACATTGGATCGTCTGACTGGACAGCGGGCATCGGGTCACCAGGCATCAAGTCATTTGGCTTGACAGCGAGCACCGCGTCATCTGGCAAGGCAGTGGGTTCCGAGTCAACAGGCATGACCGCGGCACTGGGGCAGAACATTGAATCGTCTGGCTAGACAGCGGGCATCGGGTCACCAGGCATCAGGTCATTTGGCTCGACAGCGGGCACTGCGTCATCTGGCAAGGCAGGGGGCCTCCCGAGTCAACAGGCACGACAGTGGGGCACCGGGTCATCAGGTACCGGATTGTCTGGCTCGACAGCAGGGCATCGGGTCCACCAGGTATGACAGCGGGCACTGGGTCACCAGGCATCAGGTCATTTGGCTTGCCAGCGGGCACCGCGTCATCTGGCAAGGCAGTGGGCACCGGGTCACCAGCATTGGATCGTCTGGCTCGACAGCGGGCATCGGGTTCACCAGGTATGACAGCGGGCACTGGGTCACCAGGCATCAGGTCATTTGGCTCGCCAGCGGGCACCGCGTCATCTGGCAAGGCAGTGGGCACCGAGTCACCAGGTACGGTACACAGCGGGCTCTGAGTCAATTGGCACGACAGCGGGCACCCCGGATCAGGTAACCGGATCATCATCTGGATCAACAGCGGGCATCGAGTCAACTGGCCTAATAGGATCGTCAGGCTGGATCAGTTCATCATGCTGGGTAGAGGCATTCAGGCTGAATGCCAGGCGTCCGGCTGAGTAGAGGCTTCAGGCCGAGTAGAGGCATCAGGCCGAGTAGAGGCATCAGGCCGAGTAGAGGCATCAGGCCGAGTAGAGGCTTCAGGCCGAGTAGTAGGCATCAGGCCGATGTAGAGGCATCAGGCCGAGTAGAGGCATCAGGCCGAGTAGAGGCCTTCAGGCCGAGTAGAGGCATCAGGCCGAGTAGAGGCTTCAGGCCGAGTAGAGAGGCATCAGGCCGAGTAGAGGCTTCAGGCCGAGTAGAGGCATCAGGCCGAGTAGAGGCTTCAGGCCGAGTAGAGGCTTCAGGGCGAGTAGAGGCAATCAGGCCGAGTAGAGGTCATCAAGGCCGAAAAGTAGAGGCATCAGGCCGAGTAGAGGCTTCAGGCCGAGTAGAGGCTTCAGGCCGAGTAGAGGCTTCAGGCTGAAGAGAGGGCAATCAGGCTGCATACAGGCATCAGGCTGAAGAGAGGCATCAGGCTGCGTACCGGCAACAGGCTGAAGAGAGGCATCAGGCTGCGTACAGGCATCAGCAGCCGAGTACAGCATCAGGCTGAGTACAGGCATCAGGCTGAGTAGAGGCTTCAGGCTGAGTCACGGAAGCAGCTCACCGGTTTGGATACTGGCAGGATGGTATTGGTTGGAAAGAATTTTCGCTTTTTTCTGATTTTAACTACTGGATCACTGCAAATGTAAACGCAGGTCTGCAAACGAATGGAGCAGCTGGAGACAGAGAAGAACTGGAGGATGGAACAGGAGAGGGAGGCAGTTGCTACAGAGGGCCTTTTTTTACAGGGTTAAAGGGCAGGATAGAGGTGCAGCGAGTGGGGAACGGGGTACTGACATGCGGTAGAATAGCCAAGTATACTGGGCTGTAACTGGAGGGAGCTGGTGGGAATACAGGATAGAGTTAGAAGCAGGACTGGGTTTTTGTAAGCTGACTGAGGCTGGGTGTCAACAAGTCTGTCCATGTCTGCAGTATGGGTTGAACAAAGCTGAGCTTACACAAAGCCTGGGGTCTGGTCAATGACTGCACTGCGTTTTTATACAATCTCTTAGTGTCCTGTGGTGAACATGTGGAATAACGCTCCAGAAAGTAACCCACATCATCCTCTAATAACCACACCAGGGACTCTACCTGGTCTGCACTAAATGGTGGCAAAAATTCATCCCTGCATTCGGGGGTACCAGATGAAACCAACTCTGCACAAACCTCAATCAAAGGCTGCACCTCAGAGAACTCTGTGCCCTGATCTACTATAAAATAAACATGAGCGAGCGTATACCATTCTAGCAGTTCATCCCGGTATACTCCTTCAGAGTTTGATAAGCATACTCCCTGTCATCAAACACTAGCAGATATAAAACGCAACCTCATCAGATCCATCCTTCCCCATCAACAAGCCAAGATGGCTTCCCTGTGCAGCCCTTCTGGTCAGGATTGGCCTTGGATGTAATGTCAGGGCTCCCATGGTATGACCAGAGGTGTGTGGAACTGAAGCAGGGAAACGCAGACTTCAGATATGTGATTAACAATGTAATTTATTAACACTAACAATACAAACATAAACGCAGTGCAATACTAAACATAATACAGTGCAAACAAACCCAACCAACCACCCACAGAGAACAGTACATACAAGCAAGCGTCGTCAGGTCAGGCCGAGTCAATATCAATTGGGCAGGTAGGTACAGGGGAGGCAAGGAGAATGGTCGGGGTCACAGGCCAGGTTCAGCAGGTAGCAAGCAGCGTAGTACAGAGGGTCAGGCAGAGGGGATGGTCTAGGGTCACAAGCCAGGGGATCAGAACAGGTAGCAAGCAGCGTTCAGTACAGAGGGTCAGGCAGAGGGATGGGTCAGGGTCACAAGCCAGGGATCAGAACAGGTAGCAAAGGGAACAGAAACAGGATGCAGGACAGATACAGGGCCCCAGGACAAACACAACACCGAAGGCAGAGTCTGCAAGTCTGGCCATCCCTTAAATACACCAGTATCATCAGTTCCAGGTGTTTAGCTGGCTGAAAGGTTGAGTCTCTGATTGCTGGGAGCACCCGCTGGCCAGCCCTGGTACTGCAGATCAAAAGGCAGGTGAGTCCCACCATTGCTGGCCAGTCCATCCTGACAGAGTAAGGCTGTCAGTGATGTGTGTAGGCGGGGCAAGCGTGACGAGCGTGAGGGGAGCGTAGGCTCTCTCACACTGTCCGCCCTGAAGACCGGACTGAGCGGAGGGAAAACGGCGCGAGAGGAACGCGCGGAGCAAATGGTAAGATGAATTTGACACAGGGGGCCTTGGGGACCTTAATATGGGGAGTATGAATTACTTGGGTGATTTGAATTACTATATGGGGGTATGAATTACTATGGGGGATAAAAATAATACTATAATAATGGGAATGAATTACTATGGGGGAAATGAATTAACTATAATGGTGGTATGAATTATACTATATGGGGGGTGAATTTACTATATTGGGGGCCGTGAAATTACTATATGGGGGGAATAATTACTATATGTGGGATTAGGTTAAAAGTATCTATGGGGGGATTGATTGAAGATATGGGGGATGAATTACTATAGGGGGGATTGAAATAGACCTAAATCGGGGGATTGAATTATATAATTTGGGGATGAATTACTATAGGAGGGATGAATTACTATATTGGGGGTATGAATTACTATATGGGGATATGAATGACTATGGGGGGATGAATTGCGATAGATGGGGGTATGAATTACTATATGGGGGATGAATTTTACTATGGGGATGGAATTAACTATATGTGGGAAGACTTACTTATGGGGGTAAATGAATTACTATATGGGGGATTGGAATTACTATATGAGGGATGAATTAAACTATAGGGGGATGAATTACTAGTTGGGGGGAAGAATTACTATGTGGGGAATGAATTACATATAGGGGGCAATGAAATTACAATATCGGAGGGATGAATTACTATGGGTGGATGAATTACAATATGGGGGTATGAATTACTATATGGGGTGATGAATTACTATATGGGGGATGAATTAACTATGGGGAATGGAATTTACTTATGGGGGATGAATTTACTATGGGGGATAGAATTACTAATATGGGGATGAGAATTAATCTAGTGGGATGATATTACTATAAAAACATATTGAAACTAAAAACAGTGTACCATTCCTATGTTATTTTCAGTTTTTAAAAATGTGGCTTCTCAAAATAAATTTTTCAATTCGTGGTTTTGTCTGAGATTTGGCTCAGAATGAAAAAAAAAAGGTTTGCCCAACCACTGCTCTAGGAGGTTCATCACTCTGGGTCCACAAGCTTTTTGTCAAACTTCTCTTTTCAAGCCTATACTATTTTCAAATTACCCATGATTATTTCTTTCACCAAACACTCTTAGTATGAATTTGATGCAATATATTTTATAGGTGTTATTTTAGTATCTTAGCTATTTTCCTTTAATTTTGTGTATTCAATTTAAATGCTCAAGATAAACGTTTGGGCTAGTCACACTGTGCAGAGACATGCATTTTTTGGTAACACAGGTCACTTCAAGGATACAAAGAAAATTATTTTCTATGTGCCCTGTTCACACCACAATGAAAATTTGTTGTCATATGATTTTTTTTTTTTCTGTGCCAGAAAAAATTCGTACAGTACATGTGGCATATTTCTGCACATAAAAGAAGACCACATAACACTAGTGTTGTGGTGTAACAGGGCGGAACTGAACCAATTTGTAAACTCGGGCCACTGCCCGAGGGCCGGGGTCAGTAGTGGGGCCCCATGAGATGCCCCTGGTACCTTTTTTCATAGGCTTTTTGAGTTTGGCAAGGACACAGGTGCCCCATGATCCCCCTATTGTCCAGGGGCCCCATGATTTTCAGTCCGCCCCTGGTGTGAATGAGGCATAAAGAAAAACATTCATGTAGAAAAGCGCACATTTTCTGCACTGGTGTTCAAAAAGGTCAGAATATTGCTTAATTTTTTTTCTGCCACATTTTATCAAACAATAACAATCTTTTTTTCTTAATCTCTTACTTTTATACTATCTTTTTTGATATTAAACTCACTTAAGTAATATATCTAACAGTAAAATTTTACCATGGATATTTTGTTATCATATATTTAATCATATACCTTATTATATTTTAACTATGGATATATGTGTTTACTGGTGATTTAAGGCAACATGAGAAAAGACTGTATACATTTCTTAATGATCGAAAATCATCATTGCCCATTATTTTTTAAACTATATACACTGGGTGCCTTCTTGTAATATTCTATTAATCCAATAACAGTAAACTTTTTGTAACAAACTTGATCATGACATATTTTTTTCGTTCATTACTTTATTTAGAAAAAATTAATAGTAATCTAATATTTAAACCTCTATTTCATTTCTAAATATATTTTCTTTGAAATAGTGAATATCTTCTATTTTATTTTCATACATTTATTTACATTTTTAGAGCCTATATTTTAGTCTTATCTTACTTAATTTATACATATTGTAGAGCAGCACTGAAATTTTGGGTGCTTTGTCCCAAAACATTACACATTAATTATATATTCTTAATATTATACAAATACAACAACATAAAGAAGATCTAAAGAAGAATTGAGCACATTCTAGAATAGATGTGATGATCAACATAAGACCAAAGAATTTGAAAGCTGAACCCAAGAGAGAGATGAACTGATATATGTTTTTATATTTATCTCATATTTGCTATTTCTTAGCGGTTAATTGATGTAGCCAGTTATTGTAACCCATTTTGTCATCATTTTCTTTTTTTTTTATGCCATGTTTATGGTTTTATCACTTATACAAATATCTGTATATTTTTAGAAGTAGTAAAGCTTTACCTATAATTTTTAATTTTTTTTTTATATTTATTTAAATATTTTTCTTTTATTTTTGATCTCTATATATCCATATTTTTTTGTTATAATATTAAGCTATTTCAAAAAAAAATTTGATGTTTTATTTTCTCAAATTTTTATTATTTCATTGATTATATTATCTTCTATGCTGGAGGGCTATAATTCTTTTTGGAATTTTGGACCCTGAATTTTTTAAGTATAGTTAATAAAAGATGTCACATAACAAAATGCCGAAAATT